AAAAAAAAGATGACAGAGACGTGTTGCTAATCCCTGAGGCCAGACAAGCAGATAACAGCACAGGAGCGACTTGACGAAGTTTCCACAAAGTTCTTAAGGGGAAATATGGCAGCTGTCGGCCGTCGTGGGACGGGGTTTCGCCTGAAGCTAACGCGTGCGTACAGCATGACATCCTCACCTGCCTGATACGGCGGCGAGTGGACGACAGCGTTTAATCTCAGCGGGCTTTAACTTCCCGCTCCTGACCAGCTTTGACTAATCGAGGAGACAACGTGGAAAAAGAGCCTTCAAACCGCCGCCATCTTCGGCGCCACCTCAACTCGGCCAACTCTTCGCCTCCAGATTCCGGCGAGAGAGGAGGGCGGCGTACGCTTGACTTCTAAGTATCCGAAATGTCCCGTCTTAGCCGCATCACACTGGTAACGCTACCCGTCTTCAAAGACGAACGCTCGTCTATTTTCTTGTCATATTTGCTTGAAGGACGGCTCGACGACTCGCGAGTCTAATTCCGTGCACTTTAAAGACGCGGCGCATTCAAGGTGCATTACGGCAGCTATCGAGGTGACGGGAGCAATTTCAAACTGTCATTCAGTGGCGGAAATATCCCAGCGAGTCCCGTGTCTCCTGCGGGCTGTCAAAGGGCCCTGTGAAGTTAGCACTAATCTGGATCTTATTCACTCAACACCATTTACTTGTCAGCGCTTTGCCTCGGCACGCGAGACCATAATGAGATCAGGGTATAATCAAGACACATTGAAAGCTATTGAAATGAAAAGGTCAAATTGTTGCAGAGTTTTTCAGAGGTAGAGAAATTCGAATGCAGAAGAATTGACAATAGGTCGGCATATTCGCGGTTCACCAGTCACAAATTTCCTGTGGATTTGGCAACGGCCTTTGACACATGCATGGAAATGTATTTTTTTGGTCCGCTCGCAACACAAAAGCTTTTTTTTTTTTTTTTGGCCCGCTCGCAACCCCAAAGCTTTTTTTTTTTTTTGGCCCGCTCGCAACCCCAAAGCTTTTTTTTTTTTTTGGCCCGCTCGCAACCCCAAAGCTTTTTTTTTTTTTTGGCCCGCTCGCAACCCCAAAGCTTTTTTTTTTTTTTGGCCCGCTCGCAACCCCAAAGCTTTTTTTTTTTTTTGGCCCGCTCGCAACCCCAAAGCTTTTTTTTTTTTTTGGCCCGCTCGCAACCCCAAAGCTTTTTTTTTTTTTTGGCCCGCTCGCAACCCCAAAGCTTTTTTTTTTTTTTGGCCCGCTCGCAACCCCAAAGCTTTTTTTTTTTTTTGGCCCGCTCGCAACCCCAAAGCTTTTTTTTTTTTTTGGCCCGCTCGCAACCCCAAAGCTTTTTTTTTTTTTTGGCCCGCTCGCAACCCCAAAGCTTTTTTTTTTTTTTGGCCCGCTCGCAACCCCAAAGCTTTTTTTTTTTTTTGGCCCGCTCGCAACCCCAAAGCTTTTTTTTTTTTTTGGCCCGCTCGCAACCCCAAAGCTTTTTTTTTTTTTTGGCCCGCTCGCAACCCCAAAGCTTTTTTTTTTTTTTGGCCCGCTCGCAACCCCAAAGCTTTTTTTTTTTTTTGGCCCGCTCGCAACCCCAAAGCTTTTTTTTTTTTTTTTAAATCAACAAAGCGACTGCTCAAATTCGGAGCGAGTTCACAAGTTGGGGCAGCTGTGAGGTATCGGCGTATGAAGACAGCAACTAGTAATATGTATCATTGAGAACGGAAGTGGCTCGACGTCGTTTGAGAGTATAAAAGGCAGTTCTTGCCTGGCAGACGGCAGTTAGTTAAGGCCGTTAATTTCCCCGTAGACGCGCCACTGCGGGCGACACACTGGAGCTGTACTTAACCATTATTAATGTGACAGGCCTTGGCGCAAGGCGAATCAATTAAACAAGAGCAATCAGCGTCGCCTGGATAGCGGCATTTTCAGGCCATTTTAAGGAGCCGACAGGGGCAGGCGAGCGGCATGAAACAATAGCACTTTCCAGCCGTCATCTCCCCTTTCTACCTGTCACGTCCAATCGGCCCGTCGCCGCGAACGACGCGGCACGAGAATTTCCACATCGCGGCAGGCAAGGAAGTTCTGTTTGCACGCGGCGGCCGATTGGAGGCTTTCACGGGGTTGTTCCTCCAAGTACTTTGGGGTGCTTTAAACCCGCCGCACACCAGTGACTGACCCTGGCAAACCGCAAGGAAATGGCACCCCTAGTGTTCTTAGCAGGTAACAACATTTTGGAAGCACTGCCTTTCTTATTTCGTTCGAACCGGCAGCAGAAAGACTCGACATAAAGCGTTGCTCTTCAGTCAGTACGTGTTGAATACGTGACTTTAAGGGGCGTGGCCTAGTTCCTGTCGTTTCAGGATGGTAGTATTTGGCGAGCGACAGCATTTTTTTGACGCGGTACCACCTTTGAGAAGCACTGAAGTCGACTTATTTGATGCCGTGTATATCCTGCGCAAGGAACAGCAAGCGCGAAAAACCCCAAAATGAAGCCGTGCCGAATTATGACCGAGAAAGTTTGTCCAAATTGCTCAAATCTCTGAAAGCTCGCCGGGAGCCCATTACTCAGCCGACGTCCGACTTTGAAGCTGCCGTATTGGCAAGCGGGCTGTGGCCCGTCCATAAATGTGTCCCGCCTCAGTGAAATACAAGTGGGAGATTTCAGGCTCTCTGTTTAAAAGTAATGAATTACGACGACAGCGAGGAGGGGTGGGGGCAGTGGAAAAATGTGCAGCCATTTAGGGACCGAGCCGGGAATTTGGTGCGCGCCTCGGCGGCCCATCCATCAGGGCCACAATAAAAGAGTTTTTGGCTGACGCTGGGAATTTATGGTCGCCCTTCCCTGTCCTAATAAGTCAAGCCGCCGTGTCACCGGCTGACTTGCCGTTGCCGAAAACAGCAGCGCTGTTATCAATCAAAAAACACTTGCATCTGTTTAACTTTCGCCTGATCAGCAAGACATTTATAGGCTATTGAGTAATAAGATAAGTGGGTCTATTTCAAAGTGGGGCGCTGGGAATTGGGAAATGGAAGATTTCATGATTAATGGCAACCGCAAGACAGTTTTATAAAACACGCTTTGCATTGTAAAGAATGTGACTTTGGATTCAATGTGATGCCATTAATTCATTCCAGAAACACTCATCACTCTTGACTTTTTTATTATTTTTTTTAAACCGCTTTTTCATCTTGGGAAAATACTTGTACTTTTTCGGGCCCTGAAACATTATGAACAGTCGCCCGCGTTACCGAGATTAGTCTTGAGGAAGGACTCCGACTTGAACTATTATTATCGTGAACTTATTCAACTGCTATTCGGTGCATATCAAGCGAATTGGTTGTTGGTTCAAATTCATCGGTCGTCGGTACCGTTCACAACAACCGATTCTCAATGCAGTTCAAAACAAACTGACAATTTGGTCGCGATGAGCAAGTGAGAGAACTACTTTTAAAAAAGCAATTCAAGATCAAAGTAAGCCTTTTTTTGGGTGGGGGGGGTTCACACTTGCAAATTTAAAGGTACCTTTTTCCCCTGCCCCAAGGCGCACGAAAAAGAGAAATGGACTGCTTGCAACGGTGAAATATAGTCGGGACAGAGGAGCCGAAGCCGAGCAACGTCCTTGTGTTTGTCTTTCATTAATGATATTTACAGGAAGATTATAGAGGCCGACATGATGGAAGGCTCAGGCAGAGAGACTTCCCCTTCTACTCTTTATTTTTGCACTCGGCGTTGACCTGAATGTGACTGAGGAGGAGAAATGCAGACGGTTGACAGATAACTGGCAAGTAGGACGGAGAAGTGACAGATGCCAGGCTGCATCGGGGGGGGAGAAAGGACCTGAAAACACGTCATGCGGATGGATGGATGGGGGACTGGACGGACGGACGGACGGACGGCAGCCAACATTGCTTGTTCTCCTGAGCCGTGGGTTGTTTCTTAATGACTCATGCACGCCCCCCCAACCCACGCTGGAAAAAAAAATGCGCTCTTTGTCTTGTCAACATGGGAATAGCTTTACGTGGGAATGAAAACTGAACAGTGAAAGATCTGAAGTGGCGCCGGATGACTTGATGGTCTAATTTGGAACCACATTTTTTCCTGTGCGAAATAGGCAAGGCTTCGCACGCCACGTCGAAAGTTGTGAGCCACCAGCTAGCGCGCAAGATCATTACTAAGGAACTCACAATTACGACAGATGACCCCTGATGCACACAAAGGTGCTCAGGTTCTTATATTGTGGGGGAAGGGAAAGTCATGTTTGATGCCAAAGTGTGTCAGTGGGAATGTTTTAGCCACACCCCCTCGAAAACAGTTGGGAGTTTCTGTGCTTGAGCCGCTGACATTCCAAAAACAGGATGATAGGGTTCTAAAATCGTGAATGGTTGTAAATTACTGAGACAAGATGATCACTAGGTGACAGATACTTTCTATTTCGTTTAGTGCTGTGCCATGTTTTTTTTCCTCCCCAATTTAAAATGTATGCCTTGGCTCAATCGAGGTCGTGGAAACACTGGATGAGATCATCTTGGCTAGTCGACGTGAATCTACCAGGTCTGAGCATGCGCACAGAACCAATTACATGTGAAGACACCGCGTTAAAAGGCGCCGCGAGCGCGAAGCACACCCTCGCGTGGATGCGCGACGTCATTTTCCTTTCGTCTTTTCACCTCGGATCAACTCTTGCAGACTCCGATCCGCGCGCGCACGCAGGCAAGTGGGTGGAGGCGGAGTGATCGTGCCTTGCTTTTGGCACACCACCGTCACTCTCTCTCCTCCCTCCTGTAATCTGAGCGCGCTCTCGGACCTGCGACCACACTGTCACAGGACGCCGACGGGAGAAGGCGCGACGGCGGACACAGAGACGACGCGACACGGATTGTCCACAAACATCCATGAGGATTTAACGCTTTTGTGTTTGGCTGAGGCTTTTAGCGAGATTTTGAGGGGCTTACGCGCATTCCCCACACATGCATTTCTCGGCCATTTGCACGAGCTTTGGGTCATGATCACAGCGCCCGCGGTGTCTGTCCTGAGACACAGCTCCAATCCAGCGTGGGAGAGCCGCTCCTCATCCGGGGAGAAAGGCGCACTGAGCCCCGCCAGCCGCACGTACGCGCAACGCAGCACCACCGCCGCCGACAACACCGTCTCCTCCCCTGCAGACCCGCACCGTCAAGCCGGCCGTCTGCCCATCAAGTTGCTGAAAATGCTCACGGCTCGGGCGGGACACATCATGCACCCGGAGTACCTCCAGCCGCTGCCGTCTACGCCGATCAGCCCCATCGAGGTGAGTCTGTCCAAGGCGCTCCTTCCTGGGGCACGGAGAAGCCTGCATTTGGGCTGTTTGAGTCGTTCTAAGTCAACGGCGTCAAACCCGAGGCCCGGGCGACAGATTCGGACCGCCACATCATTTCATGTGGACAAATTACAGCAAAGAGCCTATTCGCTTCTCAATCTAAATTGAACAATAGTTTGGTTGTGCTTTTCAATAATTGCTTGCCACTATGTTCCACAACCTCTGTTTGCAAATTCAATTTGTTGTTAAAAACATCTACGGTAGCGATATGAAACACAGGGGGAAATTGTGTAATAGTATGAAATGATCCATGCATTTATAAAGACTTTCAGCTCCATAGAATGGCCCATTTAAGGATTGGTTTGATGTAGCCTGCAGACAAAAATAAGTCAGACACTCCTCCCTAGGAGATGACAAGATAAAAAAAAAAAGCATATCTTTTTTTCTCAAAATGTGAATTTATTATGGTGTTAATGGTTTGATTTCTTTCTTTCTTAACTCACTTTGGATTTGAGGGGCTTAAAAGGATGCTGCAGTACTGCGCGCACAAAAATTATGGCCAAATAAGTCCCCAAAAGGTACACATCTTAACTGAGATTTGTTGTGCGTCACAGCTGGACGCCAAGAAGAGCCCACTGGCGCTTTTGGCTCAAACATGCTCCCAGATCGGCAAGCCGGACCCCCCAGCCTCCTCCAAGCTTTCCTCGGTGGCGTCCGGCGGGGACAAGGAGAGCAAGGCTGGGCCGATCAAGATCAGCGACATCGGCGCGGACGACAAGTCGAGCTTTAAGCCCTACGCCAAGTCGTCGTCGTGTTCGGACACCAAGAAGGAGTCGAGCCTGAGCGGAGATAAGAACGCTTTCCGAGTGCCGAGCGCCACCTGCCCGCCGTTCACGCCTAGGACAGGCAGCCGCAGCGCGAGCCCGAGCTCCTGCGCCTCCGCGTCAGCTTCGCCGCTGCCGTGCGACGGCAAAGCGGCGGAAAAGGACGACAAAAAGGAGTGCGAGCGTAATAAAAACACGTCGTCGCCGGAGAGTCATAGGACGAGTGGAATTAGCCCCGATGGCAGCCAGGAAAGCACGCCCGGGTCCAAGGCCGTCACTTCGGACTCGCCGTCCATCACCTCGTCGATGCTCGGCACCGGATTGGTGGCTCCGGTTTCCCCCTACAAACCCGGCCACGCGGTATTCCCGCTGCCGCCCGCCGGCATTTCCTACCCTGGGAGTTTAGCGGGCGCCTACGCGGGTTATCCCCAGCCCTTCCTGCCTCCCGGTATGAGCCTGGAGCACGCCAAATCGAGCAGTCAGCTCCTGAGCGCGCAATTCGCGGCGTGCAGCAAGGCCGGGACCAGCCCCCTGGCCGGGGCATCCCCTCCCTCGCTAATGTCCGCCGGCTTGTGTCGGGACCCGTACTGCCTCAGCTACCACTGCACCAGCCATTTGTCGGCGACCTCCGGCGCAAACTGCGCGCACGATGCCGCCTCGGCCCTCAAGTCTGGATACCCGCTCGTGTACTCTGCGCACCCGCTGCACGGCGTGCCGTCGTCGGCGCCGTCGTTCGGCGGACACCCGCTGTACCCGTACGGTTTCGTACTGCCCAACGACCCGCTGCCGCACGTCTGCAACTGGGTGTCGGCGAACGGCGCGTGCGACAAGCGCTTCTCCAGCTCCGAGGAGCTGCTCGGCCACCTAAGGACTCACACGGCTTTCGCGGCCGGCTCGGAGAAGCTGCTCTCCGGCTACCCGGGTTCGTCGTCGCTGGCCGCGGCTATGGCCTGCCACATGCACATGACCTCCGGTGGGAGCCCGTCCAGCCCCGGCGCCCTCGCCCTGAGGGGGGGCCCGCATCACCCGCTTGGACTAAGCAGCCGCTATCACCCGTACTCCAAGAGCCCACTGCCCGCCCCCGGAGCCCCGGTGCCGGTGCCCGCGGCCACAGGCCCTTATTACTCCCCGTATGCTTTGTATGGACAAAGACTGACCACAGCCTCGGCTTTGGGGTACCAGTAGAGACCATTCACACAGACAAAATACACACACACACATTTATAAAGGAGATTTTAGGCCCAATGAGTTTTATATGTACTTCATGCAGGGACTGGATCCATGTGGGGATCAATGTATTTATTTGAGATAGCTTCAAGCGTGACTTAAAAAAATAAAAAAATCTATAATATAACTTGCAACAGCGTGGATGTGCATTATTTGGGAGCCACCTCCAAAGGATAAAAAAACAAAACGGGCCTCCAGAGTTGTCTTCACTGTGATGGATGTGGAAGACCCACCATGAGCTTCTTCACAATCCACATTGATTTACAGTATTGATTGGCTGTGTGCAGGGGATCCACCATGAAGCCCACATGCCTTATTGATTAAACTTTTACAAAATTCAAATTCATTTTTACAATGTAATATCCCAAGGACTTGAAGGTTTTACTTTATTAAAATTTAAAAGTCATGTTTTTGTTCAACATTTCACCATTTGCTTGTTGTAACTTCAATTTCTGTCTTTTTTTCCCCAATACACAAAGAATTACACAAAATGTGTCTTGTGTGACTGGCTGCATCAAATATTCTCAGGGGGGGGGGGGCCTTTATGGCCCACAACCCGCATGTTTTCCACCCCGTCTTAGCTTGGGGATATACTTACTCGCGTGTTTCTTTATGTTCTGAAGAAAAGCAAAACTCACATACCGGTATTTGTTGATTTTCTTCTTCTGGTGGTATCTGTACACACGGAGCGATCTTGAAAACTTGAGACGGTCTGTGTTGATGATACAGAAGGATTTTTTATTAGTATTTTCTTTTCATTCGTTTTTCAAGCGCTTTGTCATTCTGACATGGACTCACAACTTGACTGCGAATTGAGAAGTTAGTTTATAAAAGCACAGTCAATGCTGCTAGCTTAGCAATTAGGTTGCAACGTTTTTAGTCACTTTTCTGACCACTCTTGTGACCGTTTTTTTAAAATAGCAACTTGCGAGTTGAATTCCCACTAAGAAACAAGTTGCGACAGGAATAGTTTTGACATTTTTCTTCTTGCATATGTCACGAAAGGAGTCCTGTGGCAGGCAATCGCAGTGTCAATAGCGCTGAAGACAGCCACATTTATTTTCTTCCTTTTTTTAGCTGTACTGGGGGGAAAAAAAAACAAAACAAAATATTTTTTTCAAAGCTTGTTGGTATTAGGAGAGAAAAAGCAGATCACGATAGGGGGGAGAAAAATAAAGAGACGAAAAAGTCTTTTGAAAATTGGATGTCTGTTGCTCTTACCGTGATATTTGGTACAGGAGAGACCACGATTGGATTTTTGATCTGAGGACTGGATGACCTCCAGCTGGAAGTAAGAAAGTGAAAAGAATTGTTAGAGACGCTTTGGGAAAATTAATGATCCCCTTAAGGGATTAAAATAAGTATTTATACTAACTTACATTTAAAAATGTGCGCCGTGCTTAAGAAATGATATTACCTTGGCACCCACTATTATGTTGACCTAAATTATTGACAATGATCCAAAACTTGTCGTGATGAATTAATAGGCCAACTAAAATGTGTGATGCTAAAAAAATGATTGTTATCCTTGCATTTTCAACAGTGACAGTTTAATATAAGATTGAAAGTGTCAGCATTAAAGCACTTCGTGATACTGGATGGTGATAGTATAAAAAAATGTATCATAAGCACTGTACATACTTCTAGGTTTTGAAAATATATGCGTTCATTCTGGTGCTACTTTCAACATCCAGCATCTATTTTGTGAAATCTTACATTTGTTCATTTTCAGTCAGCCGAACTCCAAATCATCGCAGGAATCATTCTAATCTGTCCTTGTCAACTCAATGCTATGGCAAATACTGTATCTGATGCATTTAAGCCTTTTCTTTATTATTCTTTGTCTTTGGAGCTAAGAATAGTTCAAGTTTACAATGTGTGACCGACACGAGCTGGTGATCCTCCCCGGGGCCCCACCTGCAGCGCAACACATTTTGAAATGTTTGTCTGTTGCAATGTGGTCCTTATAGCTTGCTGTCAAGCTTATTAATGATCCAATCAGGGGGACTTCCCCCCACTGCTTACATTAACTTCCTGCTCTCAATTTACGACCCTTGAAGAGGCTGCTAGGCTTGGACTTAAAGGCCCGAAGGACCAGCTTGAAATCAGGAGCATCTATCTATCTGACCGCAGAGAAAAATAGGGCGTGTTGCTTCAGACTTCAGATCATGTTTACACACCTGCACAGAGAAGTGAGCACGAATATCTCCACGGGAACTCATTAATTGTAACCCAAATCAACTTTCGCCACTGTCGTGAATGGAAGTAAGTGCCTCCCTACCTGCGAAAAACACATTGAAGCTCTTCAGAGAATTTCTTTGCAGATTTCCTCAAATACGAGGCGTGGATGCTTCGAGCTGTTTGTCACCCCTCGTGGAAGTTTACTGTAAAACACAAAAAAAAACAAAAGACAATGATTGGCGATAGCATATGCATGTTACGTAAATGACATAAAAATTTCTACTTTAACACAACACCAGAAGCAGCAGCACATAAAAACAGAGCGTGGAACATCACTAACAAGCTACGACTACGATGACCGAAGCGTTGTAATTGCCTTGAGATGACAAGATGGCGTCAAGTCACTTTTTTTTTTCGACGAGACAAGGCGAAAACACAGCTCGATGAAGCTAGCCGCTGACGCCGTTACTTAGCCACAAGATGGCACCAAAGCAATATATTTATACAAGACATGGTCTTGGCCTGAGTACAAAAAAAAACAAAAACAAAAAAACGCGAATAGTGAGTGAATTAACAGACGAAAGGTCCCCTGCTTGCAAAACGGGCAACCTCAGAAATATAATCTGCAAATCTATTCTTGGGGCGTGTTGATTCTGCACACACACAATAAGCGCAGGAGTTCAACCGATGGGGAATGTCTGCAGTATCTCAACGCACAAAAGGGGGTGGGGGAGGGGGATGCAAGAAATCGCAAGGGTGAGTTAAACAGTAAGTTCTTGTCTTTCAACACTCCACAAACCCTAGAATTAACACACGCCACTGACAAGGGCACATTTTGGATGTCTGTCATTGGCTGAATACTTTCTTTTTTTCCCCCCTTTTGGTCTCCAACAACATCTTGCTCAGCTTGTCAACTGCCACTTGCGTGTGATTAATGACCACCAGCCCTATTGTGTGCGCGTGCGTGTGTGCGTGTATGTGTGTGTGTGTGTGTGTGTGTGTGTGTGTGTGTGTGTGTGTGTGTGTGAAGATGGCTAATTAACTGCAGGCTGACTGAAGGGCCTCCGATAACCCCGTTTTTTTCTCCTCCCGCCCGCCCGCCCCTGCTTGGTGGTGGCATGTGGAAGCGCTTACTGACAAATTTGTGAGGAGCTGAGCTACGTTGACTAAGACGAATGGCCGCCGAGAACAGTAAACAGCCGCTAATTTAAGCGTGTTCAAATGTATGACACGCTGGCACCGTGCCTCCCCCCGCCGTTTGTGCTCCCTCGTCGGGGGAAATGCGGCCAAAGTACGCCAACCCCTTCCTTCCACCCAACCGCATCACCTCCACCCCGACACCCACGCTTAAAATTACACTTGGCATCTTCACGGAGGGAGATTTTGCTGCTTGGCAAACATGCGCGCTGCCTTTTAAGGTTCGTGCTATAGTCACGACAAATACGGTGTTGATCTATTATGTGTGGCAGGTTTTGAAGTGTTTGAAGTTTTTTTTTTTTTACAATATGCAGTTGACTTAGAAGTAGCCCAACTTATGAGCTTTTCCAGATACGAGCCAACACTGGTGGATTTTTTTGTCTTGAGTTGTGATTGATTTTAAGGGTGCTAGCTATGCTATTTCATTTCAATCAAGTCCGTTTTTAGAAAAAGATGAGCAAACACGCCTTCTCGCCAACAATCAACCACACGGCGTCTACACGCTGTTGCCAGCTGCCTTCTAAGGCAGACACGTGACCGGCCGGCTTCCTGATTATTCTTATTGAGTTTGTTAACAGAAAGAAAAAAACAATCTCACCATGTGAACCCGTTACTCCAGTTGCGACGGTTTTAGTGGCTGAATTATGGCGCTGACCGATGAGAGGAAATAAGCTGTGGACACAACTTAATTTCTTGCCACTGAAAGGGGAAAAAAAAATAGTTAGCACGGCAGTGACAGACGAGGAAAAAGAAAGTCGCTTGAATATAGCTGGAAATGAAAAATGGCAGTAAAGTGGAGCGAAATGCTCGCTGCCAGCTGGCGGACCATTACAGGTGATGGACATGTCACTTTGGCCAGTCAAATATGACAGACGAGCATGTGCTAATACAGTGGAAGGACCCCAAGTCTCAAGTCTGCCATCTGCTTCAACGGCCGCCATAATGTACAGCTCGTGATTAGGCTTGAAGAGCAGCAGTTTCTCTTAAACAGTTAAAAAAAAAAAAAAAAATCCATCTGGAGCACGTGGCATGTCATTTTTCCTCCAAGACAAATGGATTTTTTTTTTCTTTTTGTGCAAGATTCGAAATTAGACAGCAGAACACAATAAATCTTGTAACGAGCCTGGGAAAAGAACTGAAATTCCCCCTTTCTTTTTTTTCCCTTTTTTTTATGCATTCAGCATTTAGCTAACCCTCACAGGGTAAATTTCTTTACAAAGGGCTCTGAAAAAGCATTTTGAACACACAAGCGCGTTGAAAAATGCGATCTACAGATGCTTCCGAAGGAATACTTTTAAATAACACATTTTCTCTCTCATTTTCCCCTTCCCTCAAAGTAGGTCGTGACTCGGTAAAAATAGGGAGAACACTTGAGAACCACAAATGGTCAAAACAACACCGTTGCCTCCGCCCTCCTCCACCCAATTACAAAAGCAAGATGGTTTCCACAGCTGGTAAAGCCAGAGAACCAATGGATGCTTTCCTCCTTTTTATAGAAAAGCTGTCTGTCAGCTGGATGCGGCGTCACAACAAATCCCCGGCGCTCGAGTGAGGCTGAACATTCAGGTGGGGGGCAGGCGGAGGCAAGATGGATGACCCGGAGGTCTTTCAAGTGTCGCGGGCGAGTCGCATGGCTTCGCTGGCGCTGACAGAGAAATATACACAGCAGAAACGGCAATAATGAGAACATTAAACACTGCCGCCACCTGACGGAGCAGCCTCGCATCAATCATGCGCCCAGACACACAACCTTGACAATTAGTCCCTTCTGATAATGTCTGCGACTCCACTTAAGCACTACACGCCGCTTGTTTTCCCCGGGCAGGAATATCCTTAGAATTGTTGAGATCAAATTATGGAACGACAGATATTCTCATCATTTATTCATCGCCTGCCTGACAAGAATGAATGGATATGGGAACAGAGGAGACATCACAATACGTGAATTGCAGTATTGGTCTCTCTTTGCAGAGGATAATCAATGTGGCATTGTTCTATTATCTATCTACGTGTTGCTTCACCGATTGCGATCAAATATCCGTTGCTGAAAGGGTTTCACACTGAATTTCAGTGTGAAAGAAGAATATTCAGTTTTTAGCGCTGTCAAATATCCCAAAAAGAAAAAAAAACAGGTTACATTTGACCCCAACTGTATGCGAGGGTTCAATAAAAGCCAAAAGGAGCTTATTGGACTTCCATAATTGTGAATGATGAAGACAGACGGACAATGTTTCAAACACGTGACAGATTCCGAATCACTTGGCAAGCTCTCATCCGAGTAATGACTCTCTCCTCGTCACTTGGACGTGCACGTACTGTACTTCAATTATTTTCCTGGCCGGCTCGGAAGATGTTGCGGCGAAGGAGAGCCAGGAAGCATCCGACGCCCGTTTACGGCTCTGCCTACTCAAATGCGTCTTTTAATGACGCCCCGCAGGCATTTGGAGGCGATATAAATACTTGTATGGCAGCCAACACTTTTGGGGTAACGCAAGGCGCGGATCAAACATAAAACAAGAATAGTGCTTTTAATGCCGCTCTAACAAGGTTACTTATCCGGCCGTCTATGTGTGTATAAACACGAGCTAAATGTCAAGTCCGCTCATAAAGAGCCTTGTAAATTTGACTCGCCGGTGGCTCCGTGTCGTTAGGGTTATAACGAGCGTAAATAACAAGGTGGTTTCAGTTTCCGTCGCTCGCCGTTGTCATCGCTCTTTTTGCCCCGTGTATTTATCACGTGAGAAATGAGCCATGTGTCATGACATTTGCCATCCGAAGAGAAAAAGCAAAGCATCGGGCGAGCCATTCGGACGAAAAAAAGAACCTCAAAAGCGATGACATGGAAAGTGCTAGTGACTGTTTACAAAAAGTAGCGAAGCTGGAGTGGCGGCGTTCCAAGCCCCGAGGATGATAAATGGCTGTGCTAACCCTGCGGGACTGGAGACCCAAATGAGGACGGAGCTAATTGCCGTGCGAAATACTTTGGCATGAGCCGAAAGAAAAGCCGAGGCCTCCCGCCGCCAAAAAAAGGCCCGGTTGCTAGTCCCTGAACTCAGACTTGGTTGTTTTGCTTCCCAGAGTTCACTCGTCGTCCGTAAATCACAGTGCGGTTAAACAAGCTGCTCTCAAAAATTGTTGCCACCAAGTAGCACCCCGAAAAAATTAAAAGTACTCAGCAACCGACCGACCGATATTAAAAAGCAGTAGACCTTGTTGTTGCGACACTCAATTTTCAAATCATCTGTCCACATGGAATGAATTGAAATGCCATTAATCCGTTCCGGCCTGCCACTAAAAATTATACGTATCTTTTTATGTGATATATTGTTCTAATGAGGAAAATCACACTCCGTAAATGTTTATAAAAAACATGCAGTAATGGATTAAATTGGCCTCCTGGGGGCAGGATAATAGAAACATACATGGAGACCAGTTATTACTCAACAAACCAGACTATCATTCATCGGTTTGCAAGGATTCACAATTGATCCGGTATATGTGTTGCTTCACCGTTTGTGTTCAAACAGCCATGCGTTACAACACAGATGCTACTCATTAGCTACTCCATGACATTTTCCATTATGGAGTCGCATTAAGCTCGCAGACTGAAAAGCAAGGCAACGTGGTTGTTTTCAAGACACGCGTTTCACACTTTGTTTTGGTTCGACTGTGAACTTCAACTGAAGTGACAGCTTGAAAACTCCGTTTGAAGATTTGTCACGATGCCAAACTGACGCCGATTGTGAAGTGAATTCACCCGTCTGATCTCAAGGCATCACTGTACTTCACCGTCGATGACTCAATTCAAATGTATTGAAGTTAAACGTCAAATGTAAAATCGACCTACATGAATGTTGAAAGGCAGACAACAACTCTTCAATGCAAGGCACCGAAAAGTGAAAAGCACCGAAACTGCATTCGGGCAGCGACTCTTTGGAGCACCAGCTTTTGAGAACGACTGCAACAGAACGAGTGAGCGCTTACACCCTGACTCCATTAGCCTCTGTTTTTCTTGCAGGAAATGAAAAGCAGATGTTGTGTACAACATTGCGCAGCTTTGCATGGGAGACTAAAATCCAAGTGCAAGCGGCAAAGACGAGGGGGTCAATTTGAGGCACCTTGGGTGCTTGATATCCTTCAAATGTTGGCCTGAGCCGGAGGCTATCACGCGTGATTCATTTGCATCTGGCGGGCCGGGGTGAAAACGCTCTCTCCCGCCCACGCAGGTGCAAAGGCGTCGTCCATCTTCGCGCCGGTAATTATTCTGTCACGTCAAAACCATCCAGATGCTTTCTACTTTTATCATCATTTCCTTTACGATGGAAATTGTCTCGAAATTGTAGAATTTTCTGCTCGGCAAACACAGTCAAGAAAAGCGATAGTTATGCCTCTCTGGTGAATTTATAAGAGACGCGTTATCAGCAATCTGTTCCGTGTGACGAATGACGATGGCCAGCAGCCAGACGGATTTAATTAGGCGCCACTCTCACAGGTACGGCTTATTAAATGCCGGTAAATGTTTGCTCGTAAGTGTAAAGAGCGCCGCGATTAGCAGTTTAAGGCTGGTTGAGTAAACATCAAAGAGAGCCTTTATGGAGAGCCGGGTATGGCAAGGCGCCTGCAAAGCAAAAAAAGAGAAAAAAAAAAACATACTATTTTTTTGGTCCAGATCAGAAGGCAACGACACGAGCCGTCTCCTGGCTTGATAAATCACATTTAACATGCAGGTGGTATAATCTAGCGCTTCACTTCTAAATCAACACTGAAGATCGCTTTGCTAGCTGGGGGGGAAAACCCCAATGAAGAATGTTTTTTGGTGCGAGTGTGCTAGAATCTTGTGCCTTAGTGTGTTTGCCTTGCAATCATTCAAAAAGTTCAAAGAAGTCATGATTTTTTTTTTTTTTTTTTTTGAAGGCACAAGACATTCAAGCACCCCCCATCCCCTCACATCTCGCAGCCGCACAGTAGGCCCGTCCCACAACAAAGCGTGACGCCCCGAGTTATCATCCATCATGGCGAGCTTTTGGTGGCACATCAATCGCAGACAACTCGGGTCGTTTATTTAAAAAAAAAAAGGGGACGGCAAACACTCGGAGCAAAAATTCGACCTTTAAAGAAGTTAAAGGAGTCGCCCTTTTTTTTTTTTTTAAATCATTTCTGAGAATCGGGACAGTAGGATCTTTTTTTCCCCTTTTCTTAAGGATTTTGGATTTATTGCGGCTGGCTCACAAGACTTGAGTCATTTCTCTCGCATGTGTGACATAGAAAACAGAACATCTTGGTGTTGCTTTCAAAAGCAGGGACTGGCAGACTATGATATGGGCACCACTGACTATGTGAGAAATTTTAACTGGAACGCCGTTTGGAATAATTGCACATTCTATATAAATAAAGATGAGCTGAGTGTGGTTGGCATGTGTCATCATTTTCAGCATTAAAATGATTGGAAATGCCATTAATCTTTTGCAATCTATTGAGTTACCCCAAATGCAGAATTGTTTTTTTTAATCATAAAAATAGCACTCTGGAATATTTAACATGATAAAAACATACAATTACAATTAAATGTGTATGCCATAATATTAGTTCACTATAGATGATAAAGAATATATGTCTGTGGGTATTGTTAAATTGTATGTCTACATGTGTTGCGCCATCGTCTGTGTTCAAATATTAAGGTTTACAGTGGAAACACGAAT